TACTCATCCTTCTACTTTTATGATAGGCGTAGCAAAATAAGATCATTTATCTTCTTACCAAAGTTATCATAAAAGACACAAACTATTGTTAGTAGCTGCTGATTTGGATTTTTGCTTGATTTAAATTACCCTGAAGCACAAGTATAAAACATAAGGCTTAATAAAATCACAAGACCACTTAGATTTATGGCAGACCTGCTAAGGCCTTTTAACAGAGAAACAGTTGGCAAGGATAAAGCAAGTAATCTTCATTTGTGTTTGTTTTTTCAGATCATAACAGATTTTGATATGACCTTAAGCCGATTTTCCTACAATGGAAAAAGATGTCCCACATGTCATAGTAAGTACTCCATATTTCACCTCGCCTGCACAGTGAATATACAGTACAAAACAGGATTACAAAATAATAGAAACACGTCAATGCCAATTGTAATAAACATTTTACATCAAGATCATATTGTACTTTAAAAAAACCTACAAACAGGCAAACACTGAGTTCAGATGGTCTCAGGGGAATCTGCTCTGCACACTTGTTGCCCCATGAGCTACAGTGCCAGCTTTCACCAGCAGCTTGGCATTGCAAATTATGAATACTGGATTTGTGCACTATATGTCTCATCCCTCTTCCTGACTGCTCTGTTTTGAGCGGCAAACAACTAATCAAATAATCGGTTATGAGAATAGTTGTCAACCATTCTCATTATCGATTAATTGGTCTGGATCCCCTAGTTCTCTCCTCCGCGCTGGGAGCCAGTGTTTTATCGGCTCTGTGTCCCCTCCGAACCTTGCTGTTCCCAGAGGACACAGACCCCTGCAGCCGGTGCCCAGCAGTGAGGCGAGCACACCAAACCCCCCACCCCCGCTACTTGAGCTGTGCAGCTTTCTCCTCTATGCTGGGAGCCTGCTGCGGTCTGTGTGCCCTCCGAGTGGGGATCGGAGCGGACACAAAGCCGATCCACCTGCTGGTGCCCAATGGGGAAGAGAAAGCTGTCAGGTGACTAGAAACACAAAGTGCACAGCTCAACCCTATCATGTTTTCCAGTAATCCACATTCGGTGCACGGATGACTCTCTTCTGGAGTGATGGGCTCAAAACTGTAGAACCTGCACACTATGATCTTCTAAAGAAATTCAGACTTTATTCCACTTGTACCTATACAAAGAACAACCGCTGAACAAGTGGAATACAGTTTGAATTTCTTTGGAAGATCATCGTGTGCTGGTTCTAAAGATTTAAAGCGGTCAGGAGGACGGGGAATGCGGGGAGGAGAGCTGCAGGACGATTAGCAAATATGTGAAATATTTGCTGATCGTTCCATGTAATATTCAAACTTCGCAGTGATCAGTACTGATCAGTACAATGTTTGTAAATAATTGGGGACATAGTATTCAGATACCGTGTCCCCAATTATGAATGAAGAGGAAGTGCTCTACATCACTTCCTGTTGATTCATGATTGTGGATATAGTATCTGTTTACTCCTCAATTTAGGAATTGAGTGCTGGGTCTGCAGAAAAAGATTGAGGACTCTGTGTCCTCAATCTCTTTTTTTTTTTTATTTCAAAAGGGAAATATCACAAGTCCTGTTTAGATCCCTGATATTTCACCAAAGCCCCTTAACAGTAAAGGAAAAAAAAACCCCAAAAATAACCTAGTTAAACAATTTAAAATAGTAGAAAAATTTAAGAAATAAAGCCCCCTCCCCCCACATAACAAAACATAAAATAAAAAAGATGGGGAAAAAATTTTTGGCCTGACAAATTCTGCTGCGGGAGGTGTGTTGCGGTGCTATTTATTTTAGTGACACCCCAAACGCACTTCCCGCCTGCAGTGCTATCACTTGCACTGGAACACGCTGTACCACAAGGCCAAGCGTTCCAGTGTGGTGGCGATCTCAAAAAATTGTGCGTGCAGTTTTATTCTGAAGTAAACTTTGGGGTTTATTCACTAAGCTGCCGTAGGCAGCCGAATGAAAGACCGACCTGAAGTGAAGTGAGCCGAACGCTGTTCGGCTATTCACTTCCGGCTGGTACGGCTGACTTCAGCCGTACATCGGGTGGCTTCGGGTCTGTTCGGCCGACCCGAAGTGCGGGAGGAGTTTGAACCTCCGGCAGGCTACTCGCTGCTGTTCGGTCTATTCTTGTAGATGCCGAACAGCAGTGAGTGAATAGCCGGCTCGGCTGTTCAATAGTAAACTAGCATTGCACCCGCCCTCTGCTGCAGTTCTCCATCAGGTCCATCAGCAGAGTGCGGGTGCAATGCTAGTTTACTATTGGCTATTGCAAATTGAAATAGCCAATAAGAATCTAGCAATGCATTCCAATGGGCAAAAAATTATTATTATTTTTTTTTCTATTCTGATGTGTCGGAATAAAGAAAAAAAAAAGAAACAACAGCAGTGTTTCTCTCCTGGGCAGCCGAGAGCAGGAGACTCCCGGAGCGCCCGGGAGAGTTAGGCTGTCTGGAGATCAGTGTCCCTGGTTAGCTGGTAACCAGGGACGCTGATCTCTGTGCAAGTGGCCAGAGCCAGCCGTAAGATCACGGCTGGCTCCGCCCAGCTGTCAGAAGCAGGCTGTCGCTCGGCCAGCTTCGGCTTTCAGCGCGGCTCAGCCGCTCGGCTAAGTTCGGGAGCTGCACGGCCTATTGTGAATAGCCCGTACAGCAGCCCTTCGGTTCGACTGAACCGAAGGGGTCCTGGGGCCGAAGCTACGGCTAGATCCTTCGTGAATAGACCCCTTTATGTTAAAGCAAACAAGTTCTGCTTTGCTCTCTTTTTAGAGAACCTGTATTGCCCTGCGATGCCAGCGTCACATGTGCACCCTGTAGTAAATGCTTATTTGGAAAACATTCAATTAAGTATATGAGATCATATTCTATAGAGAGCTTTTGCTCCATCGACATGCCTACTTTTATGACAAATATTTGTACACACAAAGACAGAAAAAGGGACTTTCTTGGAACTAAATATTAATTAAATCCTAAAACATTTTCTCTGAATGCTTCTTGGCTTTATTTATTTACTTTGTACATATTGCACAGGATTTGGAGAGTTAAAGAACCTAATCAGATTTTGTTTCAGGTGAAATGCAATTTATATATTTATTTTTTCCGTCCATAGATGTTATTGATAACTGCAAATATGTATCTGATGAATGTCGAAAAAAGGTATGTGCACCTGTTACTGACACTCCTAAATCCTTATGTTGCATATTACTGACATGTAATGTAGTAACTAGTGATGAGCATGAGCTTGCTGTGAACCCAGTTTGCCTGTGTTCACCCAAGCCTGCTCAAAACTCTTGACTACCAACCCCTCTTCCTGACTCAATCAGCTGCAGAGAGGCTCATTCTCCACCTGCAGCTATACGTCACAACGGGGAGGTAATACCCCTGCCACTACTGCTGCCACTGATTGGGTAGGGAGGGGAGACTGGCAGTCAGAGTTTTGAGCAAGCTTCGGTCAACTCAGGCTGTTGTAACCTAAACAGTGATACAGATAATGCACAGTGAAGCCGCTGAGAGCCAGACCAGAAATCCGTTACATAGTTACATAGTATTTGAGGTTGAATAAAGACATTAGTCCATCAAGTCCAACCGTTGGTAACAGTCATTTGAGCTGTGTTATGCAAACAATGCTTTTGTTTTAATATATTTTCCCTCTGTCACTAACTGGAATTAAAAAAAAGACTAATTGTTGTGTTACACATGAGAACTTTGTAGCTTAATTCTAAAATAACAGTGCAGATAAATACAAATATTGAAGGTAGCCTTGAGATTAGGAGGCATCGTTTTACAAAGACATGAAGTGGCCACAATTCTGAAAGGGTTAAATGACAAGGTTTTGTAGTACGATAGCCTTAAAGTAGACTATCTTTAATTATATAAGATTTAGTACTTTCCTGCTTTCTTCCATCGTGGTTGAGGAGAGTTGAACATTCTTTCTTCAGTTCTGACAATGATCTTAGTATCCGTTATTGCAGTTATGTA